GGGGAGGGAAATGGAGGCTGGGAGGAGGCGGAAACTTTTTTTTCTTATTCTCAATAAAAAAAAATGTTGCCCTTGTGAACATGAGGCCCCGACTTTAGATTCCTAATATCCATGTGAAAAACTGCTTGGGAAAGAACACACATGAATTCTAGGGTCAGAAGGAAACAGAATGATTTCTAGACCTTGCTTGCCATCCAGAAACAGGGAAGTAAACCCATCTCGAATATAAGGTAGAAAACAATTGTGGAAGAAGACAACTGATGTCAATCTGTGGTCTACAGAGTGAAGGGGAGAGAGAGAGAGACGAGGGAGAGTTTAAACTAACTTAGGTACTCTTCCTTGCTCTCTGCCTCACCCTGAAAAGTGGATGGGGTTAGGGTGGGGAGAACATGGGGGAGCAGTAGGACAGGAGGGAGAGGAAACTGGAATTGGTATGTAAAATAAGATTGTTTGAAAAATAAAATAAAATAGAAAATAAAACAAAATTAACTTAACCAGAAAGAGAATGTGTAATTAACTTAATCAAGGGAGTGAAAGACTGCTACAATAAATCTTCAAAATATAGAACTAATTAAAAAGATACTAAACCAATAAAATGGATATGTTCCCAAAACCAATGTACAGATTCAATACAATCATCATAGAAATTCCAATGAATTCTTCAAATGACTAGAAGAGGCAACCCTAAGGCTCATATGAGCACAAAGATCAGCAAAAGCAGCATAGCAATGTTAAACAGCAAGGGAAATGTTAGAAACACTGAAAGATCTGCTCTCAAATATCCTATAGGGTTATAACCAAACCAGCATGGCTATGAAAGAAAACTAGTAATCCAGACCAAAGAAATGGAATGGAGGCCCCCGTAAGAAACCCCAGAGCCAACCAGGTGGTGGTGGCACAAGCCTTTAATCCCAGCACTCGGGAGGCAGAGGCAGGTGGATCTCTGTGAGTTCGAGGCCAGCCTGGTCTACAAGAGCTAGTTCCAGGCCTGGAACCAAAAAGCTACGGAGAAACCCTGTCTCGAAAATAAAAAAAAAAAAAAAAGAAAAAGAAAAAAGAAACCCCAGAGCCACTATCAGCTGTCCTTGACTATGGTATAAAAGAAACAAGCATTAGACAAAATTGGCACCTCTACAGCAAATGTACTAGGGAAATTCAGCATTATCATGGAAAAAACTGAACCTGCCCATGAGGTGAAATGATGGGAGAGGTGAGAAGAGCATTTAATCCATATCTTGTAAGACCCTGACCCCAATTCTCTACCTAAACTATAGCTGAGTTATAGATACATACACAGCAATAGAGAGGTTGCTGGTGAGCACTAGAATGCAGAACAAAATTAATTATTCATTACTTACAAAAGTTGTGTTTTCCAATAACAATGTGGTAGCATTTGTTTCTGTATTCAGTTTAATAACGTGTCCATTGTCGGTTTTATATACCACATCTGTATCTGCAACAACAAAGACAACCAAAATTGGCAAATGCATCAGGATAATGAAATATCTGTAAGGGAGAAAATGTGTATTATAAACACACATTAGAAGCACCATTGTCAGCCTTCAATAACCTCAACAGATTTTTGCACTTGGCTTGCATTAATCCTCCGGAAGTATGAGGAAACCTGCCTAACACATGCTTCACTGTGCAATGAATATAGGTTAGTGAGAGGGTTACTCATTTTCATGGCTTACCAAGTAGAAATTAATTAAAATATAGGCAATCTGCCACCCAATTTGAAAGGAAGGAAGAAAAAAGAACACCCTCCAGCTCCTAGAGGAAGTCATTTTTTTTTTATCTACAATCCAGTGTTTAACTGACAGGAGCTGCTGATTTACAGTAATTTCACAATGCTAAGTCAGCCCATGCAGAACTACACTTCTGCAGACTTGGGCCTCTTTCCAGCCCTCTGGCTCCATATGATTCCAACTCAGCTGCATCCTCTTGGGGTCAGAGAATCCTTTCCCTGGTATTTTACTAGATTTTTTTTTTATGAGTGCAGAACAAAATCACCCAGGATATTATCATATCATCCAATCCATTTTGAGAACTTTAGAAAATGACCTTTATTTAAAATAGTTTTGCTTCTAGCTAACTTGTATGTATCTGTTGGTTAATTTTTATCAGCTTGACACATTAGTAGATATAGCTTTTAGAAGGTGATTTGTATTGTGGAATTGTCTCTCTGAGATTTGCCTGTGGAAATCTACAGTAGACTAGGCTTTCCCCTGATATGGGATTTCCCTCTGTATTTGGTGATTACCATTAATCAATAAAGAACTGCTTTGAGCCTTTAGCAGAGCAGAGCTAGGTGGGAAGGACTGGACTGAATGCTGGGAGAAAGAAGAGTAGAGTCACAGAGAAGCCATGCAGCCCTGCTGGAGCCAGATTGAACTTTTCCTGGTAAACTACAGCCTCATGGCGATACACAGATTAACAGAATTGGGTTAAAATAATATGTAGGCGGTCAAGCAGTGATTTAATTAATACAGTTTCTGTTTGATTGTTTTGGGGCTGAGTGGCCAAGAACCAACAAGCCGCCTCATTGCTACACGCCTCCTCCCACATCAATCATCAATCAATAAAAAAATGCCCCACAGGCTTTCTGAAATCAACTACCAATAAACTGGTTCTTTATATCATTTATTTTTCCTATAAACATTGTATCCATGCACAACAAAAGACATATTCACATTAAGATTAAGCATTTATGGGGTATTTTTTATTCTTTTTGGTGCATCTATTTCTTCTTCCTACAAACTGTAAAAGGCAAGGCAGACTAGGTGTGTTCCTTGCTTGATCTTTTTCACTGATCTGTTCTCTTGTCTTCTTGAGCTCAATGACCAAGAGCTTGATTAAATATCTTTACTCCTATCCCACTCAGTATTTTTCCCTTTGATAGATCTACTCTGAACACTTTTGATTTTCATGAGCAAATCACCATAGACTGTAAGAAAGAACTAAATAGCATGCCCTCAAAGAACATCTCCATAGACTTTTACTGCACCAGTTGTGATTCCTATACCCTTGCA